TGATACGCCTATAAATTCCTTTCTTATGCCCTAGTAGATATTTGAGCCTATTATTCATCCATTTTGGGTCATTTCTATTTGATCTAATTTCTTTATATGGGATAAAATACTGTCAGTCATGGTCTGTGGTCTGGCACGGGAATACTGTCAGTCATGATCTGTGGTCTGGCACGGGAATACTGTCAGTCATGGTCTGTGGTCTGGCACGGGAATACTGTCAGTCATGGTCTGTGGTCTGGCACGGGAATACTGTCAGTCATGGTCTGTGGTCTGGCACGGGAATACTGTCAGTCATGGTCTGTGGTCTGGCACGGGAATACTGTCAGTCATGGTCTGTGGTCTGGCACGGGAATACTGTCAGTCATGGTCTGTGGTCTGGCACGGGAATACTGTTCAGTCATGGTCTGTGGTCTGGCACGGGAATACTGTCAGTCATGGGGCTGTGGTCCCGCACGGGGAAAACTGTCAGTCATGGTCTGTGGTCTGGCACGGGAATACTGTCAGTCATGGTCTGTGGTCTGGCACGGGAATACTGTCAGTCATGGTCTGTGGTCTGGCACGGGAATACTGTCAGTCATGGTCTGTGGTCTGGCACGGAGATACTGTCAGTCATGGTCTGTGGTCTGGCACGGGAATACTGTCAGTCATGGTCTGTGGTCTGGCACGGGAATACTGTCAGCCATGGTCTGTGGTCTGGCACGGGAATACTGTCAGTCATGGTCTGTGGTCTGGCACGGGAATACTGTCAGTCATGGTCTGTGGTCTGGCACGGGAATACACCTGCATCTTGATGCCTTGAACATAACCTGGTTGGCAAGTACATACACTGAGCCAGACAGAAACAACACACTCGTACACATGGTAGCCACAGGGAAGACGGACATGGTGTACACACGGACGAAATTACATTATCAAGGAAGCAATAAACCCATAGAGAGTCACCATATCCTGGAAAATGGAAAATAAACAAGTTTGATAAAAAACAAAACCCGAGGCATTTTCGAAGCTGTTGCTGTTTGTTTTCTTGTTGTTACTTTACTGGTAGTGCCTGTTATTATTATTATTATTATTATTATTATTATTATTATTATTATTATTATTATTATTATTATTATTATTATTATTATTATTTGAACTTTCATACAAGATGTGAAATTTCAGTCAAGGTGACTCAATGATGTACTATAGCAGTGATTCTCAACCATGGGTAAATTTACCCCTTGGGGGGTAAAAAGTTACATGGCAAAGGGTAAATATTTGATGTACCTGATAATGTATAATTATTTCTTTAGGAAAGAATATTTTATGTTTTTTATTTTTGGTGATACGAATTTACATTGCTATTTTTGTGTAAAACTTGAATAATTAATTTTTTTCTGACCTCTTGTTTTTCTGTCCCTTTATGGTGGCGATAATTTTTTTGTATGGAAGTAAGAGGGTAAATGGAGATATACATCAAGCTGAAGGGGTTAATTATGGAGGAAAAGTTTAGAATCTCTGCAATATAATTACGACTCTTCCTTTCAGGTCAGTGGTGATCCAGTGTACCACGACACTTTCACTGTACATGAGTTACATCCCCACTGTACTTCCCTCGTCAAAAACTCATGCCCGGTTAGCCAGCTGCCCTCAATCCCTTCATGGATAATGCATGGCTGGCACTCCAACAGCAGTTCAAAGCCTATGGACCACTGGTCTTCATTCATTCACCTATAACACTTCTCACATGCCTGCTGCAGGCTCTAGCCCCGACCTCTCAACACATGTTGAACACCCACCTACGAGCCCTTCCGAGGACCTTCCCTACACCTGTCACCAAAGATTAATATGGTTTCAGCAGGCTGTTTCACGTGTAAGCCAGAAGAAGGACTCAGCCATATGACCAACAGTTCCACTCACGAGAAACATCAGGTGCTGGAGCCCAGATGCTACTGATACACAGGAATGACCAATTGGATGAAATTATATACAATATATAATATTCTATAAATGATGGATGCTTCTGGACTGTTAAAAAAATATACGTTTTTCCATGTTGTTTTTTATATATTTTTCACCCCAGAGGTCAGCGCAACACGTTTACAAGAATATAGCCCCGTAGCGTCGTTTTTTCCTTCTCGATTATTGCTGCCTGTCCATGTTAAGTCAAGATATATTATATTTATAAACTAGCATCACATTAGCCCCCCCAAACACCCAGCAGCTGGGTTAAGCCCTGGCTTGTTTCTCTCCCCCTCATGACGTCTCACAAAACCTAGTCTTGTTAATCCGTTCCATCTTCCACCCTCAACCACCCGAAAGGGTATCTTCCTTGCATGAAGCTAAAGAGTAAAAGATTAAGAGTGAAGACAACAACTGGAGAGGAGAGGAAGATACTCCAGTATGACTTACACAGACATCAAAGATGGTCATCAAGGTTACTGATTCGTTATGTTGGTAAGAGTAGCCGGTAATATGTTAGGTTAATGGACGCGTGGGAACCTAATAAAACATTCACCACTGCGACATTTCGCTCAGTAGCTTTGTCAAGTGCAAACAATGCAGTACATGTACCCACACACACACACACACACACACACACACACACACACACACACACACACACACACACACACACACACACACGCACACACTGATGACGTAGTGGTCGTACATAGGCCTTCTCTCACTAATTTGTAACTCCTTCACCCGTGATGTTTATAATCATATATGCTCATGCATCCCGCGTTCCTCAAGTGATTTCACTTTTCACTTATTACAGAATACACTTCACATTCGGTGTTACACTTTATATGTATAATGGCATACAAACTGTTGTGACGTCACTGCTTCAGTAGGCCTACTGCCACCTTCCCTTGTTGTATATTTTATTTTTTCTTTCTCCTTTTGCCTATTAACTTTTTCACTCTCACATTACGGTGCCCCACATTTCACTTGTTAACCAAACGCTGGTAATTCTTGATCACCCGTTTCCACACTTTGATATTTTTATGTTTGTATCTGTGTGGCAACAGTGCCTAGTAGATCCACAACGGTTTGGCACTTTTAAAAGAAAATACTGAATTTAGGTTTCCCCTCGAATTTTTTCAACTAATAACTATAGTTATCACTCGTAGGTTTGTTCACTGACTTTGTCACTACCACTGATTACTGCTAGGGGTTGTTGCACCCCTCAAAAGCACGAAGGTTCTCGGAGCCTTGTGTACCCACGTCTGCACGTCTGCACGTCGAGTGCGTGTAAGACAAGAGAGAGAGGGGTGGGTGGATTGCATTTTCTTGGACTGCAAGAAGGCGTTTGACACAGTTCCACACAAGAGATTGGTGCAAAAACTGGAGGACCAAGCAGGGATAACAGGGAAGGCACTACAATGGATCAGGGAATACTTGTCAGGAAGACAGCAGCGAGTCATGGTACGTGGCGAGGTGTCAGAGTGGGCACCTGTGACCAGCGGGGTCCCGCAGGGGTCAGTCCTAGGACCAGTGCTGTTTCTGGTATTTGTGAACGACATGACGGAAGGAATAGACTCTGAGGTGTCCCTGTTTGCAGATGACGTGAAGTTGATGAGAAGAATTCACTCGATCGAAGACCAGGCAGAACTACAAAGGGATCTGGACAGGCTGCAGACCTGGTCCAGCAATTGGCTCCTGGAGTTCAATCCCACCAAGTGCAAAGTCATGAAGATTGGGGAAGGGCAAAGAAGGCCGCAGACGGAGTACAGTCTAGGGGGTCAGAGACTACAAACCTCACTCAAGGAAAAAGACCTTGGGTGAGTATAACACCAGGCACATCTCCTGAAGCGCACATCAACCAAATAACTGCTGCAGCATATGGGCGTCTAGCAAACCTCAGAACAGCATTCCGACATCTTAATAAGGAATCATTCAGGACCCTGTACACCGTGTACGTTAGGCCCATATTGGAGTAAGCGGCACCAGTTTGGAACCCACACCTAGCCAAGCACGTGAAGAAACTAGAGAAAGTGCAAAGGTTTGCAACAAGACTAGTCCCAGAGCTAAGAGGTATGTCCTACGAGGAGAGGTTAAGGGAAATCAACCTGACGACACTGGAGGACAGGAGAGATAGGGGGGACATGATAACGACATACAAAATACTGAGAGGAATTGACAAGGTGGACAAAGACAGGATGTTCCAGAGATTGGACACAGTAACAAGGGGACACAGTTGGAAGTTGAAGACACAGATGAATCACAGGGGTGTTAGGAAGTATTTCTTCAGCCACAGAGTAGTCAGTAAGTGGAATAGTTTGGGAAGCGATGTAGTGGAGACAGGATCCATACATAGCTTTAAGCAGAGGTATGATAAAGCTCACGGCTCAGGGAGAGTGACCTAGTAGCGATCAGTGAAGAGGCGGGGCCAGGAGCTCGGACTCGACCCCCGCAACCTCAACTAGGTGAGTACACACACACACACACACACACACACACACACACACACACACATATACAAACTCACACACGCACACACACACACACACGCACATACACACTCACATGTTGAAACATACTGAAATACAAACACCTCAGGCAAAAGAGAAAATAATGAAAAAAAATAGCAAGAGAAAAAAAAGCAAGAGAGTAAAAAACGAGATTGAAAAACAAGAGGAAAACAGGAAAAAAAGGATGAAAAATCTAGAGGTAAAACGGAAAAAAAAAAATACGTCAGGCATAAAAATCACTCTACTGATTCCTGTTTTTACAATGTTATGTACTTAGTTACTAGTTGTCAAAGACACTTGTCTATCGACACTTGGCCTGTGGTGATATTTTGTGTATGTGTACTGACCTGTATGTAGTTGCAGGGGTCGATTCACAGCTCATGGCCCCCCTCTTAGCTAGTCGCTACTAGGTCACTCTCTTCCCTCCCCAACAGCCTTAACATACTTCTTCTTAAGGCCTTCACTACTTCAATCTCTAGATTGTTTCCCTTCCTAACCAGTCTAAGGCTTAAAAAATACTTCGTAACAAACCTATGACTAATCTGAGTTTTCAACTTCCAGTTGAGGCCCATTGTTCCTGTGTCACATCTCCGAAACATTCTATCCCTATCCAACTCGTCAGTTCCCCTCAGTATTTTATACGTCGTTGTCATGTCTTCCCTATCCTTCCCATCGTCTAGTGTCATGTGTGTGTACAAGAGGACGATAACATACAATCTAACGGTTATAATTAGGTGATTAGAGACTCACTAAGTCCTGTCGTTGAACGACAATTATGCTAAAAATCCCCCTAATGACTAGGCAAATTAAAAGACCTCAGCTGTCCTAGCGCCAGCGAGGTCATTTATCCAAGTTCTCACGTTCAAGTAATTACTGAAACTCGCCTGTCTTACTGATGACCTTCAGAGCCTTGTAGACAAACTCGCAGGTACTGTTGGAGTCCATGTTGGCATCCCGCATCTGGTAGACGATGGAACCGTAGGCAGACATCCCGCTCTCTATGTTGATCTTCCCGGCCGAGAACAGCTGTCTTCTGTCGTCCACAGAGACCTGTTGATGGGCAAGTGTTAAGGTACACAGGTGATCGTGGTTTGGTGATAGAATGCACAGCTGTTGAGGGAGTGACACTTGTTGATAAACAGATGGTAAGATATACAACTGTGGAGGTACAGGAATTAGGTACGACGTTTATTGATGGACAGGTGTCGAGACAGACAAGTGTTGAAGGACAGGCGTTAAACTAGACACGGACACCTGTTGTTATGCAGATGTTAAGTACGACACGCATGCAATTGTTGCTAGACAGGTGTTAGTTCTGTCAAGCACCTTAACTACTGGGAACGCTTGGAAGCACTTGACTTGTACTCGTTGGAACGCAGGAGGGAGAGATATATTATAATCTACACTTGGAAAATCTTGGAAGGAATGGTCCCAAATCTGCACACAGAAATCACTCCCTACGAAAGTAAAAGACTGGGCAGGCGATGCAAAATGCCCCCAATAAAAAGTAGGGGCGCCATTGGTACACTAAGAGAAAACACCATAAGTGTCCGGGGCCCAAGACTGTTCAACAGCCTCCCATCAAGCATTGGGGGAATTGCCAATAAACCCCTGGCTGCCTTCAAGAGAGAGCTGGACAGATACCTAAAGTCAATGCCGGATCAGCCGGGCTGTGGCTCCTACGTTGGACTGCGTGCGGCCAGCAGTAACAGCCTAGTTGATCAGGCCCTGATCCATCGGGAGGCCTGGTCATGAACCGGGCCACGGGGGCGTTGATCCCCGGAATAACCTCCAGGCAACCAGGTAAGAATGACACACAAATACCAGCTATTAGATAGGTGTTCAGAACTGCTCACAAACACCTGTTGCTAGACAGATGCAAAGTACAACACACAGACACCTGCAAGACGGGTGTTGCGTACGTCACACAGACACTTGCAACTAGACAGGTGTTAAATGCGACACGTAGACGCCTGCTGATATACAGGTGTCATATACGACAAAGAGCAACAGAGACGTTGTCACATTGTTTGGTGAGCAACGTTGAAAAGCCAGCCATGGTAAGTGCGTGGAAGTGTGGGCGTGGGGTGAGTGTGGGCGTGGGAGTGAGAGTGTGGGCGTGGGAGTGACAGGAATCTAATGATATTTGAATAAAAAAATATGCTGTTTGAGAAAGATGATGGAAAGGCACTGGTAGGGTGCTGGTAGGGTGCTGGTAGGGTGCTGGTAGGGTGTTGGTAGGGTGCTGGTAGGGTGTTGGTAGGGTGTTGGTAGGGTGCTGGTAGGGTGCTAGTAGGGTGCTGTAGGGTGCTGGTAGGGTGCTGGTAGGGTGCTGGTAGGGTGCTGGTAGGGTGCTGGTAGGGTGCTGGTAGGGTGCTAGTAGGGTGCTGGTAGGGTGTTGGTAGGGTGTTGGTAGGGTGCTGGTAGGGTGCTGGTAGGGTGCTGGTAGGGTGTTGGTAGGGTGCTGGTAGGGTGCTGGTAGGGTGCTGGTAGGGTGCTGGGAGGGTGCTGGTAGGGTACTGGTAGGGTGTTGGTAGGGTGCTGGTAGGGTGTTGGTAGGGTGCTGGTAGGGTGCTGGAAGGGTGCTGGTAGGGTGTTGGTAGGGTGCTGGTAGGGTGTTGGTAGGGTGCTGGTAGGGTGCTGGTAGGGTGCTGGTAGGGTGCTGGGAGGGTGTTGGTAGGGTGATGGAAGGGTCTGGTAGGGTGTTGGTAGGGTGCTGGTAGGGTGCTGGTAGGGTGCTGGTAGGGTGCTGGAAGGGTGCTGGTAGGATGCTGGTAGGGTGCTGGTAGGGTGCTGGTAGGGTGCTGGAAGGGTGCTGGTAGGGTGTTGGTAGGGTGCTGGTAGGGTGCTGGTAGGGTACTGGGAGGGTGCTGGTAGAGTGCTGGTAGAGTGCTGGTAGCGTGCTGGTAGGGTGCTGGTAGGGTGCTGGTAGGGTACTGGGAGGGTGCTGGTAGAGTGCTGGTAGAGTGTTGGTAGCGTGCTGGTAGGGTGCTGGTAGGGTGCTGGTAGGGTGCTGGTAGAGTGCTGGTAGAGTGCTGGTAGAGTGCTCGTAGGATACTGGTAGAGTGCTCGTAGGATACTGGTAGAGTGCTGGTAGGGTGCTGGTAGGGTACTGGGAGGGTGCTGATAGAGTGCTGGTAGAGTGCTGGTAGGGTGCTGGTAGAGTGCTGGTAGGGTGATGGTAGAGTGCTGGTAGAGTGCTCGTAGGATACTGGTAGAGTGCTCGTAGGATACTGGTAGAGTGCTGGTAGGGTGCTGGTAGGGTACTGGGAGGGTGCTGGTAGGGTGCTGGTAGAGTGCTGGTAGGGTGCTGGTAGGGTGCTGGTAGGGTGCTGGTAGGGTGATGGTAGAGTGCTGGTAGAGTGCTCGTAGGATACTGGTAGAGTACTCGTAGGATACTGGTAGAGTGCTGGTAGGGTGCTGGTAGGGTACTGGGAGGGTGCTGGTAGGGTGCTGGTAGAGTGCTGGTAGGGTGCTGGTAGGGTGCTGGTAGGGTGCTGGTAGGGTGCTGGTAGGGTGCTGGTAGGGTGATGGTAGGGTGCTGGTAGGGTGCTGGTAGGGTGCTGGTAGGGTGCTGGTAGGGTGATGGTAGGGTGCTGGTAGGGTGATGGTAGGGTGATGGTAGGGTGCTGGTAGGGTGCTGGTAGGGTGATGGTAGGGTGCTGGTAGGGTGATGGTAGGGTGCTGGAGGGTGGATGGTAGGGTGATGGTAGGGTGCTGGTAGGGTGCTGGTAGGGTGATGGTAGGGTGATGGTAGGGTGCTGGTAGGGTGCTTGTAGAGTGCTGGTAGAATGTAAAAATACACTTTTCAAATAGCTAGTGACCTCTAACTTAGAGCATTGCTTACTGATGACAACCTCGTTGAAGGTAGGAGAGAGAGAATAGAACTGGAAATAATACGCAGAGCATTTGCTGCCAACTTATAAGTAATAAAGCATATAAGATACTAGGAACACCTCAAAGAACTGGAAATGTACTCTCCGGGGAGAAGGCGATAGAGGTACGTGATAAAATACACACTGATAATACACGTGATAATATACACACTTAAGATACTGGAGGGCCTAATAACAAATCTGCATTCTATCGTTACTACGTACTGAAGTGAGAAATATTGGAGGAAGTCCAAAACGCAGAAGCACCATGTCAACATCCGTGGTCCAAGACTTTTTAATCTGCTACAAACAGATATCAGAAATATTGCTGGGATAAGTAAGCTAGATCACTACTTTCGCGGTGTGCCAGATCAACCAGATGTGTGGGGTCGCCGGGGCGCCAACAGCAACAGCCTGGTAGATCAGTCAGTCAACAGGGAGGTGTGGGCCTGGACCCAGTCGTGGGAATTAAAAGAAAACTCCGGAAATATGTCACAGGCCAACCCTCCAACAATGCCACACCCTCCAACACTGCCACACCCTCCAATACTGCCACACCCTCCAACACTGCCACACCCTCCAACACTGCCATACTCTCCAACACTCTCCAGCATTCACATTCTCCAACACTGCTACACTCCAGCACTCCCCACACACTCCAACACTGCCTCACACACTCCAACACTGCCTCACACACTCCAACACTGCCTCACACACTCCAACACTGCCTCACACACTCCAACACTGCCTCACACACGCCAACACTGCCTCACACACTCCAACACTGTACTAGTCACCAGGTGGGTGTTCAACAAGCTGTGAGAGTCACGTGTTCATCATTCATACCTCGCGGTGGATTAAAGGTGAACACCTCTCCTCTCTTATTCTCTCCTCTCTTCTTGTCTCTCCTCTCCTCTCTCCTGCTCTCCTTTCTCCTGCTCTCTCTTCTTTTCTCTCCCCTGTCTCTTTCTCATCTCCCTCCTCTCTGTCTCTCTCTCTCTCTCTCTCTCTCTCTCTCTATCATATGTTTCTCTTCTCTCTTTCTCCACTCTTCAGTCTTCTGTTATGTTCTTCATCTTTCTGCTCTTCTCCCTGTTATTTTTTTCTTGCTACTTCTCCTCTACTAATCCTTCCCATCTTCGTTCATTATTTTTCCTAGGCTCTTCCTTCTAATCTTCCTTCTCTTAACCCTCTTTCCTCTTCCTCCTCCTCTTCTTTCCTCTTCCACTCTCGCTTCGTCCTCCACATCCCACCTGTTGATCCACTCTGGGCACACCCCACCTGTTGATCCACTCTGGGCACACCCCACCTGTTGATCCACTCTGGGCACACCCCACCTGTTGATCCACTCTGGGCACACCCCACCTGTTGATCCACTCTGGGCACCCTCCACCTGTTGATCCACTCTAGACACCCCACCTGTTGAGAAATAAGACACACGTGCAACACCCGGGTATCTTTATTTTGGAGACGTTATCAATGCAATATGGAGAGTAACAGTGGAGACAGTGAGAGACAATGGCTTAGTGTGGCTGTAAAAGACAAATGCAGAACAAAAAAGACCTCATATCACGAAGTTTGGTCTATACGAGTCTATTAGTTGGTAAAAAAAAACTCTTGTGTTGTGGGCGGAGCTGCTGGACGAGTCACGTTCCTTAGTAAACCAAGGACGGAACGTTTAGGTGCTGTCTGCCGCTGATAGCTGCTACACGTATACTTGTGCTGCCTGCCGCTGATAGGTTCTATATGGGCACTGAGCTGGTAGCTGATATTTGATCATGAATATATATATATATATATATATATATATATATATATATATATATATATATAAATATATATATATAATATATATATATATAATATATATATAATAATAATATATATGTATATATATATACGTATATATTTATATAGTTACAAACAACGGCCAGAGATACCTTAAACAGTGGCAACAAACACACTGTTAAGATAGTTTTAACAGGTATCAAGTGTCAAAAGGCAAGTCATAGACTTGCTTCAGTGAACAAGGATATCACAATCTCGCACCAAGAATATTCTCAGATTTGTTATGTACGTTTTTTTTTTTTTTTGGTCACGGTAATTAATTAAAGCACTTCAGTATTTCACTGTGAACAGTGAAATAGGATTTTAAAATTCCACTATTGTGGGGAA